TCTCTCTCTCAAATAAATAAATAAATAAATAAATCTTAAAAAAAAAAAAAAAAGAGGCTGGAGGTCATGTTAAGTGTTCTTACCACAGGAGAAGAAAAGAAAATAGAAATAAATAAATAAATAAATCTTAAAAAAAAAAAAAAAAGAGGCTGGAGGTCATGTTAAGTGTTCTTACCACAGGAGAAGAAAAGAAAATAGAGACACAGAGCAAAGAGTCTCCCCCCTCAAGAAAAAAAAAAAAAAATTAAATAAATACATCCGTATCCCTACTCAAACAAATGAGTCACCAAGGTCCAGGCCTGACCACAGGCCGATAGATGTGGGACAAAGCAGGCAAGACACCTGGGAGACACACCACCAGGTGAGCTGAGTGAGAGGGGGTGGAGCGGGGCACAGCCCAGCCCCACCTGGGCTGCAGCCTCGGAGGTTGGCAGCCTGAGCGGCGGGCAGGCCCCAGGGCCACGTTGAGGAAGACCTGATGTAGGCCATGACCAAATACGGCAAGGCCCCACTGACAGACTCCTCGGTGTGTGAGTCACCGAGAAAAATCCCGTCGCGGCTCCCGACTGTGCCCTAGCCCCCGGGGCTCGGAACCACTGTATTCTTCCTTCCAGAACAGGAATTTAAACAACAACAAAAAAATTTCTTCCTTAAAATGACAAACCAGAAACACAAGTTGGAGAAAGGTCACTGCAATTAAAAAAAAAAAGAAAAAAAAAGGAATTCTCTGTGGGTCAGAAGGTGAAGGATGACCCACAGATCGGGGGACCCTGCAGGAAATTCACTGAGCAGAGCAGAGCTTGGTCTTGGGAAAGGAAACCAGGGAGGTTGCCGTGGGATATGCTTTCTTAGCTGCAGCACCAAGACCTCTGACAAAAGGTGATTCACCTTCGGACACCTCTTGGCGGCGTGTGAAAGCGGAGGGGGTGGGCACCGCTGGGCCCGGAGCTGGGCGGGGAGCGGGGAGCTTTCCCCACCCGGCGGGGCCGCGCCTGCAGCTGAAAAGCTTTTATTTTAATAGCTCCCCAGCGTCTTTTCTGAGGTTGATTTCACTGTGTCTTTGTGCTTTTTTTCTCTCTTCCTCCTTTGAACAAACAGAACAGAACAAACATGACCTATGAGAAAATGTCCAGAGCCCTGCGCCACTACTACAAACTAAACATTATCAGGAAGGAGCCCGGACAAAGGCTTTTGTTCAGGTAGCACTTCCTTTTTCTCCTTTCCTTCTTTTGGGAGGATATTGTTTTCTTGAAATAAGAGGGAGGAGGGAGACTGTTAAGGTCTCTACCTGCCTGTGTGACACTCAGAGCCATCCAGTGCTACAAACTGGGTACCGGATGCTGGGCTGTTAGAATTTCAGGAAAAAAATTTTTTTTTTTTTTTACTTATGTCTGTATTAGAATAAAGCCAAAACTAAGTAAACACAATCCGACTCACCTTTCAAAATTATGCAGTGATCCAATAGTATCAACATCCCAGTGTAGTTAAAAGGAACAACCAAAGTAACATCATCGAGCTTTTAAATCTAGGCTTCCAGGTTCCCAACCCTGTAAGCCACATTCTGAACCAGTGTTTGTCAAACTGCAGGTCGTGAGCCGTTCATGAATCAAGAAATAGATTTAATGAGTCAGTCACAAAACTGTTTTTGTTTTTTTTTAATGAAATAGAACCGAATTGGATAGAACAGAGTTGAAAATATCAGACTGTATCTCATGAAATAAGAGTGACTAATGATTCATGAAAATTTGGGGGTGTGTGTATGTGTGTTGTACATGCTGAGTCATGATGTGAAATGTATTTTTTACGATGCATTATAATCAGAAAAGTCTGAAAACTGCTGCACTAGACATTCCTCTTTCCAGACTTCCTCACAGCTAATGAGTTCCAGCCATTTAACCTACCACATAGATTGTGATTCCAAGTACTATGCAAGAGAGGAGAAAGAATTAGAAGAGGAAGAAGAAGGGATCTAAAGGACCAATCAGGAGAGGTAGAAGTGGTGGTAATTGACATTGGTGGTAATGGCCGTGGGGAGACCCAGGAAAGGCTGGGAGAAGGTGGGATCAACACACATGACGTTAGGTTATGGGTTTGGCAGGTGGGACAGAAAAGAGTTTCGGATGGGGCTAGAGAGACGGATTGGGAGGTAGAAAGTGACACTCGGTATGAATAGATGAGCATGCTGGGATAGACTGGAAAAAGCAGAGAACCTGGACTTTAGCAGCAAGAACTATGGTAGCTTAGGAAGAGGGAAAACGATTGAGATCTTCAAAAACAACAGAAAAGGCTGTTCAAGAATTGGAAACAGAATGGACTGAAGTAAAAAAAAAAAAAAGAACCCTCCTTTCCCTGGCTCTGCTGATGCTTTCCCTTCATCCTTCACCCTAAACTTAGTCCTCCCATTCTTCCTGGATGAAATGATCCCAATACACAGCTTCACTTATCACCTTAGTGGTTAGACTGTATCCAGCTCTGAAACCCTCCTGAAATTCCAAATCTCAATTTCCAAGAGCCTCTCATAGTACATGTCCCCTGAAATACCACATCAGTATCTCCGACATGAAATGTTCAAGACAGACCTTCTTCGCGTACTAGAAACCTCCGCTCCCCGCATCCAGAATTCTTGTTACTCATCAGTGGCGTCACCATTGTTCTAAGTGGCCAACCTTGACATTGGAGTTATCAGTGACTCTTCCCATATCCAGGTTAGTCATTGTGCTAGATTGTCCTTCCACTGAATTCTGTGTCATCGGGGCTAGAAGCCTGGAAACCACATTTCCCAAGATTTCTAACCAGCAGCTTCCGGGTCAGAGGCTATCAATGACAAGCACTTTCATGAGAATCTGGGAGATGTAAGAAGGGCAAAAGCATTATTATTGCTTCCCTGCCTAGACTTTATGATTTACACCTAGATTAACTCATAATCCTTTCTGCCTCTGGTCCACTCTCCTGCCTTCCAAATTCATCACGCACCCAGCCAGCTGCCCTGCAACACTAGCATGATTCCCGGTGCCGGAAACCTACATCCCTTTCACTTTTGCTTTTTGTGATATATATGCCTTCTAGGCCCATCTCAAGTGTCCTGCCCTTCATGCAGCCTTCTTCAACTGCTCAAACACGCAGAGATCTCTGCCCCCATCATCTCTTGGATTCCCTTGGCCCTAAATCACATTGCATTTGCAATAGTTGTACACGTGAAGTCCTTCTCCCCACAACTGGGTCATGAGGTTCTAGAAGGGAGAGGATTATATTTCATGTAACTCTGTTTTATACCTTCTGGGGGCTTTCAATAAATGTATCTTGAGACAAGCCTGATGTGGACTCTCAGAACCTTAGTATGGAAAAGTAGTCAAGAGAAGAAAGGGGTAGTTTGCAGCGCCAAATACAGCGTATGTGTGGATTTGGCCTCAGGAGATTGTTAGTGACTTCAGATGGTGGGGAGAAGTTTTAGTTAGGGGATGAAAGGAGAAGAAAGACTGCAGACTTGACAAATCATAGTGCTTGAGAAGTTCAGCAATAAAGGGCAGAAAAGGGAAGCAGAAGTAGTTGGAAAGTTCATAGGCTTCCAAGAGTGATTTTCGACAATATAAAAGGACAGAATAGTGCTATTAGTGAGGAGAGTTGGTCATTTTTGAGGAAATGAGTGTTAGAAGCCAGACTTGCCACAGAATCCTTCTTTGTGTATAATCAAGTGAAGTGTTAAATTGTGGGTACTCTTTCAGGATTTGTAGGCATTGAAAGAAGGAAGATTTCAGTAGGGACTGGTGCTATTACGTGGCTCTTTGATGAGGAGGCAGGACTCAGAGAAAGGAGTAAAGAGAGAAGGCCAGGTTTGGAGGAAGGCATGAGCCATGATTTATATAAGAAAAAAGACTGGCCAGGCTAGAGTAAAGGGTTCATAAACAGCGGGGGCCCAGAGTTTCCCAGGTAGAGATGACCGAGAGCCCAGGTGGGCAAGCCGAAGAGTGTGTCCTTGGCTTTATCTGATAAGTGCTCATCGTAGGCTTTTGAACATGGAGTCACGAGAGCAAAAGTATGTTTTCAGACAGTTCATCTGGTGGCAGGGCAGAGTGTCTGGGGAGGGAAAGGTGTGCAGGCCCTGAGTGGGACTGTGGAGGGGGCTCTCCCACGGTGAGGCTACAGGGTCTCCACCCAGGCTGCCTTCCTGAACCAGGGAAATCATGATCAATACAAGTCAACGATGTTATTTCCAACAGGAAGATAAGGCTTGCCGTATGCACCCAGCTGCAGAGGAAGATAGACTAATGGGGATTCATTGCTAGCATGTTGGGTGGGTCAGTGATAACAGTGAAAAGGATTCTTTCTTTTTGCCTTTCTAATTTCCAAAAGCACCACTAACTTGCCCTGTTATGAAAATTTTCCATTCAACGTTTAATTGTGTCCTTTGAGTTAAATTCAAGTTTTGCATACGATTCCCTGGGCTCACAGTCTGAGATGGGAATGGATCTACAGCTCCCAGAGGTCATTGGAAAATCTAACTCTCTAAAAATAAGAGACACGGACCAGTGAGCTGTACCAGGGTTCCCTCGCATGGCCATGCACAAAGCACTACACAGCTCCAAGGGGTGCTGTCTTCTAGACTCTTTTGATAGTTTTTTGGCCATTTTTCAGGCTTTCCAGTTTTGTGCTCAGTTAAGATTACTGGCTGGGTTCAGTAGCTCTCCAGCTCTTTGAGGTGATGGGGCTTTCGCTTTTAGTTGAGAGTTCAGGGTGAGGACAAACTTGAGGAAAATGTAATCTCTGGACTCCTTTCCTCTTCCAAAGGTTTATGAAAACCCCCGATGAAATCATGAGTGGCCGAACGGACCGTCTGGAGCACCTTGAGTCCCAGGAGCTGGATGAACAAATATACCAAGAAGACGAGTGCTGAGGGAACCAAGCCACGGCTTCCGCAGGGGGGGTCAGCAGCCGGGGGCCCCCTGCCCATGAGGGTCCTGGAGGCGTGGCGAGCAGGCGGACTGCAAGCTGAACCGGAAGAGACCTGGAAGTGGGAGTGACACTTGTCTCGCATAGTGGGAGGGCCCCCAGAGCACCTTAGACAAACCACCCAGCGAAGGCGGGGCTGGAATTCTGGCCGAGGGCACGAGCCTGGGACTCCTGGTTCCGTTTCCTCCTCTTGTGGAACCTCTCCATCTGTAATTCCTCACCCTCACCCATCCACCTATTGTTAGTTTCATGGTGTTTTCGTTTTTGTTTTTTTGGGTTTTTTTTTTTTTTTTTAAGACCATGCAGTTTGACTTTTCATCATTCATACAGGGGAAGACATCCGAGGTTGTTTTCCTATGGAAATATATATCTATTATATATATCTATTTTTTGCAAATCTCACAAAGTGCGGCAAGCCCAGCTGGTCAGGAAAGAGAACACTTGCAAAGGGTTTCAGGTTCCTCTTTATCCTGCCATGTGGATCAGGTTTGTTCCTGTTGCTGTTGGGTCTTGGCTGGAAAAAAAAAAAAAAAAAAGATGCTTTTAAAAAAGATAAAGTGAAAAGGAGAGCTCTCTTTTTCTCCCTCTCGCTCTTTCCTTCCCTGCCTCCCGTCTGTCCTCCCTCCCCGCCTGCTGTTGAGCTTCAGATGCCTTTTAGCAGAGTTGAGCCTCTCGGAGAGTCTTGAGCATTGTTGACACCCAGACAGCATCAGTGGTCTGGGCGCTTTGCAGCCGGCACCGCAAAATCAAACCCACATCCCGGCATCTGGCTACCCATCGGAGGGAGGCCCCAAACCTCACAGGTGCTGCGGTCCTCCAGAAAGAAGTGCCAGTCCAGCGGGCTGCCCCTGCCCCCCACATGGCTGTGAGAACCCCAGGACTTGGTGGTTCTGCAGGATGGAAGATTAAGGACAGAAGGCGGGTCTGCGTCATTCGGAAGGCCCCAGCATCATGGGATTAGCTTGCAAGTTCCGCAAGGTGGAAAATACAAAAGGACCCCACGGGCCTGATGGTCAGAAACTAGGTGGAAAATGTGCTGCAGGAGGGATTTATGCTTCCAGCGGAGGTGACTAAGGCTAGTGAGGGAGAAGGTCTTCTCTGCTCCGTCCCGAGGCCATCTTGTGGTCAGTTTCATGCCCTCACCTGATTTTTTTTTTCCCCCAATTCCTAGCCTTTTTTTTTTTTTTAAGTTTCCTGGTCCCCACAGGACCCAGGGCATTTGAGAGGAGAGGACCCTGGAGTACACAGTCACTTGCTCCTGGTGTTTGCCAAGCCAGGGCAAACAGGAAACTCCTCAGATTCATTACCTGTTTCTTCTTTCATAGCTGTGTTTCAGAACGGACCCATTTGTGGCTCTTTTACACCTCAAAATCAGGTCCATAGTATCTTGTAAAATGAGGAAGTGCCACCTCTTAGTACTTTTGATGATAACAGATATTTTTAGAAAGCTGTTTTAGGGTTTGTTTGTTTTTTTCCTTTTCTAGCCACCTGAATTGACTCTCCCATTCCCAGGTTCAGAATCCAGTATTAGGACAGTCTTTTTTAATCCAAGAGATTAGACCTGCCTTACAAAGCACCCCCTCCTTGCTTCTCTGTTTCCTCTACTCGCTCGGGTGAACATCTCATAGCTCCCAGCATCACCATCAGCAGCACTTAGGGGGAGGCTGCCAGAGCCCTGGGTAGCTCCTCAAGCCACTTCCGACCGCATCAGGCAGGTGGGGGTTGGAGCAACTCAGGCAGGAGGAATTGTCCCCCAGCCTTACTGACAAGGACACCAGCCTGCGGGGAGGGAAGGACAGATTGACTGTGGGTCAAGGACACGGGAATCAGGGAGCCCTTCAAAGCTCTTCAGTTGTGCTCCGTTCCTGCCTCTTATCAGACCGCAGATAGACACATGGATGTGGCCAGCCTCTTCTGCTGTCAGGCGCTCCCCCAACTCTACCTTCCAGAAGGTTGGGCTTGCGGTCAGGTCAACGACCTGCTGTGTGAGGCTGGAGGGTCCATTGATGAAGGAAGGGTTTGGTCTCAGTCTGCTTGAGTGGTGGTGAAATTGAGCTGGACCCCAGCATGCTACAGATATCTTTCAGGAGCGATCGACAGCATGCAGGGATACATTCTCCAGCCTCTAAGATGACTGATATTGGATCACAACTGGAGATCTTAAGCCAAGTACCGGGTGTGTTGTGAAGGCTGTTGAATTTAAGGGCTGAAGAGAAAGGGTGGATTTTGACTGAGGCCCTTTGTGTGACTATGAAATCAGAGACAGGGCATGATGTGGCTCTTAGATTAGAACATCTCATTCTGTTCACTTTACCCAGATAGAAGGGCTCAGGCTCTTACTGTTCAAAGAATATTACAGTTGAATTATGGAGGGAAATTCCCTTTGGCCCCAAGGACTTCTGTATTTAAGGCAATACCCTGCAAGAATATGTAAGATAGGATGACACCTTCAGCCACTTGAAGAAAAGAAGGTGCTAATTCCAATATGATCTTTATTTCCGACCCAGATATTACCAATAAGAATTTCCTGTTGATTCCCTTAAAGGCAAAAGTCCTCCTCATTTATGCTTTGAGCTAACACCTGGGCAGTGCTGACCCCAGAGATACGGTGCTTGCACACTGCAGACCCCAGAGATACCTGCTTCAGCTCAGCAAACTTGGCTGAAGCACCTGCTAGACACTGTGAGGGATTCAAAGAGGGATTGGGCACAGCCCCTGCCCTCCCGAGAGCATCTGCTAAACCTGTAGAATCTATCCAGGCTGAAATTCTTAACTTCAACACTAAGTGCTGGGGAGGATGGCACGTTCACCTGGGACCACATGAAAAGCATGTCTGTGATCTGAATAGTTGGCCTTTCCCTGCTGCTGTCATGGGATTCCTTGGCTTAGATCAGAAATCAGGAAAGGAGAATGCAGAAGAGCACCGTGGAGCGGGGAGAGCTTCCTTCAGCTATGTCTGGGGGGCGTCGCTCTCGCTTGATCTCCAGCTAGAAATTCTCTAGCACCTTCTCTTGCCTGCATCTTGGGTTCACTGCATTGCCTCCTCTCCATCAGAGGAAAGCAGTGGCGATTGGCTGCTCTGGCCATGTGGAGGGAACAGTCTTTTTGTCCCAAGGCAACTTGATCTCTGGCCTAAGGCAGCATCACCAAAGTCCTGAGTCCTTCCTTTCTTTCTTTCTTTCTTTCTTTCTTTCTTTCTTTCTTTGAGGGGGACGTCCCCACAGAAAAAGAGGAATGACAGACTGATGGATTTTCTCCGCTCAACAGTGTGTTTGGAACCCTCTGACCCAGGGTCTTTTTACGCTGATATCTTGCCCAAATAAGAATGTAGCTTTAGCTAAAACTTCAATGGCAATGACAGGATTCACCTAAATGACTAAGTAACCACTGTTTCCACCTTTCACTGTCTAGGCTCCAACTCTGAATACATTTTTGAAACGTTCACTCCCTTCTGCAGAAGGGAGACCTGAGTGTCCAGGAGGTAGGATGATGCCCTGGGAGCAGATGGCATGCCAGGGAGAGTGAGGTGTGGAATCCAGCCCGGCCATACCCCCATTTGACCCATTCCCACCCAGGAAGCTGAAGATAAAAGATTTGGGGCAATACCCAAAAACAAAGGGCAGGTTTTTTTTGCCCTAGCGTTCGGTGCTAGTAAGTTTTTATCCACTCAGCCTGCTCCTCTTCTGAGCAGAAGTCTGGAAGGAAGGCAGTGATCTAAGGAAGCCATGGGGGGAGGGGAATGATAATTCCTGCCTGTCTAAAAACCACAGAAGACTAACCTGATACTCCTTTGGCCCCATCTGCGTCAACACTAAACAACTACAAACTCCCCGAATCTTTCACACATGCCAAGTGAACATTCTCGAAGATCTCTCTTTGTGACTGCAACCACCTGCAAACCAGAACGAATCTAGAGTTTCTTTTCCTTTTTTCTTTTTGCTTAATTTCTAATCTCTTGTTGTTTATGAGGTGTGGGGTTTATAAGGGACTGAATCAAATGAATGTAACAAAAAAGAAAAAAAAAAAAAAACAAATGCCTTTTCTCAGGGCCAGTGAGTTGCAAATAATTTTTAAAGAAAAGCCTATAATTGCATCATCTCAATAAATTTTTTATAAAAAAAAAAAAGGACCAAGTCTCTGTTTTTAATAATGTGAAATGGAGTCCTACAGGCAAGGTACGCCAATGAGGTAAATCCTGTCTCCACTCAATTACAGAATAAAGTACAGTGCTGGTTTTCCACTGGCAGGCGGCCTCTGTCACAGAGCTGTCTGCAGGGAGTCTTGAGACAAGCGGCACCAGAAGGGTCAGAAAGTTCAAATCCGAGCATCTGCCACAGGTGGAGAAATCTGCCGGAAGGAGCCCCGACCAGAGATGCTTGGGCCCCGTGCTGTGCCAAAGATTGAGCAGCTCACTGGGGACTGAGGTGATTCCAGTGTCCTCCCACAATAGAACAGCTCCTTAATCCTACAGCAATCATGGATGTGAGCCTGCAGGTGAGGTAGGGCCCAGGACTACACAAAGGACCATAATGACCTGGAAGGTCATCGCCCAGGTCAGAGCCCCCATGCTCAGAATGTCTCAGCAACGCTGGCCAACCAGTAGGTGCTTATGATTTCAATATCAAACATCCTGCAGTCAACCAGAACTATCTGTCTGCCATCAGAGGTGGGTAGAAACTAAAAGAATGGAAAATGAAGCAAATGTAATCGCTTGTTAGCAACTCAGGTGCAGGTTTGGGAAGTAGATGTTTGAAAGCCATCAGATTATTTCTGTATGTAAGTTGTCCTGGGTACTCTGTCTTCCGTGACCATGGATTGCTGATATCTGGCCCTATATTCCATATCATCAGAGCACAGTATCAAAGAGTAAGTGTCTATATATTTCCTGAGGTGCTAATAATGCATCTGAAGCTACTGTTTTTATAACTCGGCATCAGCATCACCTGGGAATTGCTAGAAATGCAAATTATCAGTTCCTGTCTCATAAACTGAATCAAAAACTTTGGTCGGGGAGGGGAGGGCTTAGCAATTTTTTAACAAGCTCTCCAGGTGATTCTGATGCATGCTGAAGTTTGGGAACCACTGCTAGAATCAGTTTGTTCATCTGGGTATAAAGAAGACTATGTGGCCTTCTAAATTTTAAGTACACAGAATAATTGATGCTGACTCATTTGCATTAACAGTGCTCACACATGGTAATGCTGTATTTTTCCTAATACTACATATACTATGGAATGGGGCTCAGTGGACAAAGAACCACATATCAAAGTCATCTGCCAGCTTCCTCCAAATCTTTTCAGCAGTCCGTTTGCTGTAAAGATGAGCTGTTTTAAAAGGTAGCTCTAGCAGCTGACCTGCCCTTTGCAAATTAGAGCACAACTCCTTATTCACTTATGTCCACTTCTCTGCCTAACCAACCTAACCTAAAAAGGAAAATAAAAGGATGATTCTCATCATCCTCACTGACCTTGACTATCTGTCCCTGGCATTATTAAGCAGAGCCCAGATGACCACTCAGCCAGGGTATTGGCAGGGGAGTCCAGAACCACTGGACTCGACCTTCTTCAACCTGAGAAGTGCTTGTGAGTCACTGGGATCTTGGTAAAAAGCAGATTCTGCCAGTAATATCTACATCTTGGGAATTACGGGCAGAAAATTTGCTCTTCTACCCTACTCTCGGAGTGAGGCTTGAAATTTGGCATTTCTAACAAGCAATGCCCTACCCAGTCCTGCCAGTGACGCTAACACCTGCTAGTTCTCAGACCGCACTTGGAGTAGCAAGACATCCATTCTCGCCCATCAAGCCCCGAGAGTCTGACCCTAATGCAAAATTGAACTAGCCTCTCTCTTTGGTGTGCATTCCTTCGCCAAGTCCTCCCCAGAAAAGTCCCTGGGGCCAATCTGCTCTGCAAGGAGTTTGCTTGTTCTCTGGAGCAGCAACAAGAGTGAACACCATGATCAAAAGCCTCTTCGTCAAGTGAAGGGACAGCTATTCGTGTACTAGACCTTAATACTGGTGCTCCTAATCCGACGCCTCATGGCCACCATGCTTATGGTAAGGAATGGGAATTCCTGGCATCACTGCCTCTCTTTGAGCCTCTAGAAAGACCGATCATGCTCATTGTAAGCGAAGAGAAAGCTGATGATGACATCCTCGTCGTTCCAAAACAGTAGGATACACGAGCAGATGTTCCATCCAAAGTGCCCAAGATGTTGACCTTAAAACCCTGGCACAATGTGCATCTTAACAAGTGAATGAGGGAGTGAAGTCAGAGAAAATCTTTGTGACCTTGGGTTAGCCAAAGGTTTCTTAGCTATGACCCCCCAAAACGCAACCCATAAAAGAAAAAAAATTTGGACAAAGTGAACTTCATCAAAATCAAAACTTGCTCTTCAAAAGACACCATTAAGAAAATGAAAAGACAAGCTGCAGACCGGTAGGAAAGGCAACTCTTTTATGTACAAAATCAGACATTTATCGTAGGCACTGAACATAGTCTCCCATTTGTACTTTACCCACGACTATCTTGGAAGACGGTTCTCTTTCCATTCATTAGTGGGCAGCGTCAGTCACCCACACATAAGAAATAGAGATGGATTCCGTGTCTGCTGGAATGAAACCACCTTCAAAGTGTGTTTTAAAAGTACTTCTTCCGTGTGTTGTGTTGGCAAAACACTTCTCACTGTTCTGCAGTTCATATGCGCTCTTCCCTTTCCTTTTTCAAATTTCTGAAGCAGGGCAGCCTTTGGGGAGGCATATTAGAGGGTTTTTAAACTACATAATAAATCACTCATTCCTAGTAAATAGCCTGTGCGCTGTATCGTCAGGTCTCGGAGCTCCAGCCGGTTGCAGCTATAGGCAAAGCAACATTTCTAGGCAGGGGGGCCTCAGGCCTGGGGGAGGGGCTGCAGTGGCAACGTATGACCTGCTGCGTGAGGAGCAAAACTGGCAGCAGAGATAGGCAGCACTGGCAGAGAGACAGAGAGACAGAGAGACCTGAGTTTGCTGGGACCGAGTTTCTGATTTATTCCATTCTGATGTTACATCCCTTGCAGGCTGGTGCCCAACCCAGCTGGTGTGAGAGCAACAGAGGGGAGTGGTTAACCCAATGCAGAGTCAGAATGGCTGGTCCCACCCCACTTCCTCTCACTAGCTGTGTGACCACAGGCAACTCACTTACCCTCTCTGTGTCTTAGTTTCCTCGAGTGTAACACTGGGATCATGCTGATAATAGTCCCTACCTCAGAAGGATGGTGGTGGGGAGCAGATGGGGTATTCCAGAGAAAGGGCTTAGAAAAGTGCTTGGCACAACGTGACCTGCTATTAATTTTATATTTTACTCCAGAGCCATGAGCCACCACCCCCTTCTTCACCCAGAACAGCTCTGTATCCGTTCTACACGTCCAGATTCTCCAAAAAAACTACCTTCTGAAAAGTTTCCTTTGTTTCTGTTTTATTCTGTCTTAGGTTGGACACCAAAGAATGAGTGCAACCCCATCACTTCACAGAGGAGGGGTCAGAGGCTGGGTCAGGTGAGGGGCTATCGGAGCCCTCCCACACCCCACAGCTGTCTGAGCCAGCCCCTCCACCCCTGCCCAGTGTCCGCAGTGGGCCAAGTTCTCAACCTTGTAGAGCACCTGAACACTCAGTGATATTTACTTGTGGCAATGGACTCAACCCAAGGGAAATATTGCCTTGACTCAGGTTTACTGAGAATATTTTGATCTGGTTTTGTTCAGTTCAATAGCTCTAGGAAATGTGTAGGCTTCATTCTATTTAGAATTGGTCTGCGAGTTTCCTTGATTTTGTTTTTCTCCCACTTGCTGAGGAAGTCCTGGCTCAGCTCATAGGTGCACAAAACAATGTTATTTGGGTTCAGTTTGGGGACTGGGAAATTAGAGCATTATGTTTGAGGACTGCTCTGAACATGAGGGGGCCACATCATAAAGCCCTAGAAGTCTGGCTGCTTGGGAAACCAGAAGGTCCGGCCGTGAGACACTCCTGGACATCTTGCTCACTGCTAGACTCCTGCTTTTCTGTTAGACAAGGGAAGGATGCACCTGACCAAATGGAGAATCTTCCATTTCCAGTCAGAGATGAATCTTCACATGGAACAACAGGAAGAACAGCATCCGTGCTGGGGTCTAATCCCATTTAATCACTATCTCAAGCAACTCACTGAAGGAGTGTGGCTCGGGTTTCTTAACAAATTCTTTTCCTCAGGGCGCTTGGGTGGCTCAATCAGTTGGGCGTTCGACTCTTGATTTCAGCTCAGGTCGTGATCTCTAGGTCCTGGGATCGAGCCCCACGTCGGGCTCCGTGCTCAGCGGGGAGTCTGCTCCTGCGCTTGCTCTCTCTCTCTCTCTCCAATAAATAAGTAAACTCTTAAAAAAAAAAAAAAAAGGAATTCTTGGGGCGCCTAGGTGGCTCAGTTGGTTAAGCGACTGCCTTCGGCTCAGGTCATGATCC